AAATGAACAATTCTTATTTTATTTTTTCAAAAAACACACATCTTTTTAAAAATATTAGCTAGATAAGTTGTCTTCTACTAGTTTTATTAATATTGGTATATTAATGAATAATTTAATTTTTTTTAATTCATATAATATATTTATTAAATAACATGTAAAATATCTAAATATTAAAATTAAAAGTACATTTTTAATAAGAACTGATAGATGTTACAATAAAATATGTTTGAAAGTGCAATGTTATAATAAGAAAGTCACATCACTATAGTACATGTGGACAGCCTACATGGACAATGAGGTAGCATAGAAACCTGGGATAATGGGTAAATTTAAATCAAAAGATTACTCAATGCTATAATGAGTACATTTTTTAAAGTACAATTTTCGAATAAAAAATAGTTTAAAAGTTTATTGTTGTAATAAGAAAAACTGAAAGTACAATACTATAATAAAGAAATTTATGAAAATAAATTGTTATTTTATGTATTTTGCCCTTTTGACAATTGTAAGTAAAGTTTGTAGCATTGTCTTTATAAAAAAAAATATGGATACTACATGTACTCATTACAACTAATTCGGAAGTTGCACGTTTTCTTTTTTGTGGTTGTGGCTCATGAAAACATGTAAATTGCTACCACCTTGCTTATACTTATAAATGTCTAAATACATATTAACATTTGGAATAAATATGTTTTTTTAGCTCTTGTGGTCAGTTGAGAATTTCTATTTTCGTCCTTATGGTTTTGGAATTACGATTTTCATCTTTATGGTTTATAATTCATTACTTTTTCCGTTCCTATGGTTTACAATTCATTTATATTTAGTTCTTCATACTTAAAAGTGGTTTTTCTGGCCTTAGGGATGAAAACAGAAATGAATTGCAAACCATAAGAATCTGAAATCAAAATTTCAAAACCACAGGGACGTAATCCACAATTTTTAGCAAACTTAAATAATTTACTCTAACATCTATAATTATAACACATGAAGCACCATCTCGAGTATGTAATTAAAGTTTGCTTTATTTTCATTTGGTTAGAAATTTTGAAGAGTTGAGCAAAAGCAACACAACGAAATACGATTGATTACTCTTCTTCTTTATCACTGTCATATTGTTGGCAAAAGGATGATTAATTACTCTTTTTCTTCTTCACTATCATATTGTTAATTGTAATCCGCTACCGAACTTCTTCTTTTAATTTGTTTGTATTTAGCTTTAATTGGCTTCTTGATAACACAAAACTATATCCTAACAAATTTGATGTTAGTGTTTTAGGTTATAATGGCTTATTGACACTGTATGACCTCTTTCATCTTCTATAATTACGTATACATATTTATATATACACACATTTATATTAAAGAAAGAAGGAATGTAAAGAAACACCAATTTACCAATAAAAATCTATTTAATAAGGAAGATGAAAAAAATGGAGAGTCTTTTTAATTTTCTTGTTTTTTTCTTTTAAGCTAAACTTCAATAGAAGAAAGCTATTGTGAAGTGTTTAGAAAAAAAAGAAAATATAGTTTTTAGGCTTCTAATGTTGTCACGTCATACTTAGTGGTTTATTCTTTAATATATATATATATATATGGGGAAGATCAAATGTTAACCAACAATTTTGTGTTAACTTTGAAAACCATGACAACCAATTAAATTCCATTCTTCTTGTAGGTTTATGTTATGTTCACATTTTAATTACAAGGGTATTTCAGTAAATTGATTTGATATGTAACTCCCAAACAATTAATGGGGAGTTACAAATCACCAAATCCCAAAAAATATGCATTTATAATATTAATATTTTTATTTTTTTTAATCTTGATCTTCAATGTTTATTGTTTTATCAGTTTTTAATTCGCATTGAAAACACAGTAGTAAAAATTTTCGGTATCAATCAAGCTAATATGAATAAACGCAATGAAATATAAATCGACAACAGTGAGAAGATTAAAATGGTTTAATGACAATCGGAGTTCGAGGTCAGAAATTGAAGAAATTAACCAAAGCGAATGTCTTGGTAATAGATTTTTATTTTTTTTGATTCGTTTTAATCGAAATTATGTTCATCACGATGTGTTGTGTTTTTTTATCATTCATCTTGTATTGATAGCTTTTTTTAATTACTTAAATACGTACCTAATTCACATGTTCAAATGGAAGTATATGCACGACCCATTTTCATATTGTCATATTACCGACTTTATGAATCATGAACCATTGTGTTCATGTTACTTCTATCATATGAACACAAGTGTTATTTTTTAAGCTTGATACCAAATCTTTATATTTGTGTAAGTGTTTGCACCCGGTGTTCATAGCGTTGGGGTTATGTGTTCATATATTTTATACGATATGATTAAGGGGTGAACACGATATGAACAAGGGGTGAACAACCATATAAGATCAGAAACATATATGAACAAGGGGTGAACCTTAAATGATGTGGATGCAATGCATGTATAAAACTTCAATTGACAAAGGATCGCTCCTGAATGTGTTTATAATGAAGAAACTATTGTTCACAAGCTGTTCATGTCGTGTTCATACCTGGTTTTTTTATTTCCCTTCGTATAACAGTTTTTCTTATTATATTCATATTGTGTTCATAAATGCTATGCAGTCCAAGTTCATATATATGTCAAATTTTTGTTCGTATTTGACACAATGATTCATATATATATATATATATATATATATATATATATAGAGAGAGAGAGAGAGAGAGAGAGAGAGGTTGGTTAT